ACCACACAGACACAGAGGAGACAATGAGGATGTGTGTGTCTGCCAGTGTTTCGCTCGGTGCATACGATTTGGCTGAAGCGCTGCGCAAAGGCCTCTAAGTCTATGCTGTGTGTGGCGTGCGATGCTGTGGCCTGCTGCTGGCCGTCGGTGTCCATCACGGCGGTTTCCGTCCTCCACGTCATCCTCCTCTCTCTCTCGCTCTGCCGTCTGCCTCTGCCGCCTCTTCAACGACTCACTCATCGCTCCTCGCGCCCAGCACACAATTATCTACGGAAGGGCTGCACACAGGCAGGCGGGAAGCGGAGAGAAGGCACGGTTATCCTTGGTGCTGAGGCACTCAAAGCACATCGCGCACTCGCCATCAGGTATAGCGTAGCTTCGGGCAGCGGTGTGTCAGAGACGAGGGCTTCCCTTCTCGCCTTTTTCAAGCTCGCAGTGCGATCGTGAGGCGAAGGGCAGCCTGCGATTGGAGGCATCCAGGTGAGAGAGCAGACCCAAAATAGCTTGCATGCGCCTCTCAATGCTGTCTGCATGTCTTATTTCACCAGGCCGCCTCACTCATCAGCCATGAGTCGGGGCAGAGGAATGGCTGAGCCTTCTGCGATAGATCCGAGGGACATAGCGCTTGTCAGCATCCACTTCTCATTCGCCGACACCCTGTCGGAGGACGGCATCTACAGCAAAGACGCCAAGACAAAGGTGCGCAGGAGTGCCGTGCCCGACGTACGCTGCCTGAGAGTGTGCATCCGTCCTGTTGCACCCGTGCATGCAGGCATTCCACATTCTCAACGTGCAGAGATGCACCAAGCAGATCTTCCTCTACGGGAAGAGTGGCCGGCCCGCCTGGGAGGCCATGACGCGGCTGCTGACGCACAACGACCATGCGCTCCTCAAGGTGCTCTTTGCCGCCTTCCTCGATGCATCCATGCCGGAGCACCAAATGTAAGCGCAATCAAGGCATGATCGGGCGTATCTGTGCGCGGTGAGTGTGCTTTCTGCGTGTGTGGTGGTCCATTCAGTGCTGCCTGGGGCGCATTTTCGGTGCTATTTCTGCTAGATTGGATGCTGGCTGGGTAGCGTCGGAGCTCATGGCCATTGTGGGGGGCTTTGAGCCGTTCTGCCGGGTGGTGGCGGAGGTGGACAGAGGGCAACACAAACCATACCAGCTCCGTGTCACAAGTAAGCCCATAGCGGATTCAAGGCACCTCATGATGTGTGTGATGCTTGTGTGTATGCAGTGTGCCATTGCCTCTCTCGCGCTCACGGTATGCGCGGGCAGGCCTCAGGCTGCTGCAAGGAAAAGACCCATGATTTGCATGTCTGTGCGGCTGTGTGTATTTGCTGCAGGCAGGTGTGGCCCACGGCGACGCTCTCATATCTGAGTCGTCCCTTGTGGAGCGCCTGGCGCCCCTCTTGCCCTCCGACCTGGCCACAAAGGGCATGACCCTCCAGCAGCTGGCGCCTCTCGTGGACGCTGCCGGCCTCCGCCCGTCGACACACTTGGCCGCTGACAGCTCAGTGGAGGCCTTCCGTGATGCGTGCTGCGCGTCGCTGCGGCGGGGGGTGCCGGTCATCGTCAACTATGACATGACCTGCCTGGGGCAAGAAGGGGTCAGTGCGACTGCACCACGGGCGCAGGAATGCGTGTATGTCTGTCTGTCTGTCTGTCTGTCTGTCTGTGTGCTTGTGTGCAGGTGGGTGGCCATTTCTCGGTGGTGGGTGCGTATGCGCCGAGCTGCGATCGTTTCCTTTTGCTGGATGTGTGGCCGGAGACGCCGCTCGTGTGGGCGACGGCAAGTCAGCTGTATGCTGCCATGGACACCATCGATGGGGATAGCGGGAGGAGCAGGGGTTTTGTCACTGTCGAGCGGAAGGATGGGCCAGGCAGGCAGTCAGATTGAGCGCTCCGTGCGTCTTTGTGACAAAGCGACAGAGGCCGTCAGGTCTGTGTGAGTTTGTGGATAGGGCTTCTCCTGCCTGTGAGTCTACTTGATGAGCAGCATGAGCAGATGGATGGATGGATGGATGCAGCGGACATGGCTTCGATCAACGCAACGATGCAGAGCGAATGCGGCCATTGAAACTGACACTCCACACTGTTTTCAACCATCAACTCTCGAGTCTATGTACAAGTCCAGCAGGCAGGCAGGCAGGCAGGCAGGCACTAGCCACGCTCTAGTAGTCTGGTCCCTCCGTCATGGCACCCCTCCCTCCCTCCCTCCCTCCCTCTCTCTGCAGCTAAGCTATGCTACACATCAATCAACTAGTGATTGGCCGATGGGTATAGGGGGTGGGCGACCTGGCAGACACACATCGTCAGCACTGCATGAGCCCGTCCATTCAAGATAGCCACACACTGAGTACCTGTGGTCGTCTGTCAGGTGTCCAGGGGTTTCAGGATGAGCATGTTCTCCTGATATCCACCCCAGCTAATGTCATGCCGCTTCTCCAGCCCCTCGATGGCGTCGCCATTGGTCCGCTCCTCCACCAGCCGCTTGAAGGCCTCGTTGGGGATCGGCTGGAACCGAAGCTCCTTGATGCCTCGGATCTTGAGCAGCGACCTGACGCACGCAATGCCGAACTCACCGGCGGCATCGCCATCGCCCAAATCCTCAGGCACTGCACACACAGGGAAGGACACAAACCATGGGATGGAATGGATGGATGGATGGGAGTCAGACACCTTTCTTTCACTCATGCATGGCTGACCTTCTACGAACATCTCCAGTACTGAGATGGTCGGCAGCTTGTCGGCCATGTCCCCCCACGTCACGCCCCCCTCCCCCAGACCCATCACACAGCCGCTATCGAAGCGCTCTAAGTGTCTGCCCCGACCCAGCGCCTGCAGCATGCCCACGGCTTGCTCTTCAGTCGGGTCGGTCACAGAGAGGTCAATCTCTTTGACCGCGGGCATCTTGTGCACCATCTTGCGCCCCATCACCTTGGCCTCCCTGCTGTTGACGATAAGGCGACGTGCGGCGGGGAATGCGTTGTGGGGCAGGTGGTTGAGCACAACCGGGTCCGGCTGCACTTCCTCCTCGGCATACACCACATCGTCGTCCTCGGTGATCACCACATCGAGCACCTTGGTGAAGGTCAGGGAGTGTGCGAGGGCGATGGCAGCGGGGCTGGGCGTGTCGAGGGGCCCGGGGTTGGTGAGGTGGTGGGGGCGGACGGTGAAGAAGGCACTGAGCGATGCGGCCGCCATCTGCTGTATGTGCCTCTGGATGAAGGGGGAGGGCTCCGGGCGCGTGGGCACGTCGCAGAGGAGGCCGAGGTCGAAGTACTCGGTCTCGTGCAAGTGCTCCTCGGAGAGGAGGATGCTGATGTCGACGGGGATGTCGGGCTTCACACACACGGTGCGTGTGAAGGTCTCGATCGCCGACAGGGTGGGGAAGATGCGCCTGTCGATGGGCTCCATCTCGAACTTGGCCTTGAAGCGCTTGATGGACCGGCAGCCACGGTCGACAAGGACGGTCTGCAGAAAGACACAGCCACAAGTGAGTGAGTGATGAGCAGTGCGAAGATTCTGTCTTTCTGTGCGGCGTGGACACACCTGGAGGCGGCCTAGTCCCTCACGCCACCCATCGAAGCCAATATCAGCACCCATCGTCACAAAGGTGAGCGTCCCGACATCCTCCAGCTGGGACAGCGGTCCCGGCTGGCGCGCCTCTGCCGCCGGGAGGCGCCTCAGCGTGTTGGCCATGCTGTCGGGATTGGAATGCACCTGCAGCTCCTTGAGGCGTCGGGACGCCCCCACCATGTCCCCCAGCTCCCCACCTAGCGCCGTCCACTCTGTCTGGACCCTCTCGAGTGCTGGGAGACGCCACTTCCGCCGGCGGCCGGGGAACGCTGGCTGTCTAGGTCCACGAATCGAATCCTCATCTCCGGGGATGCCCGTGATGGATGTGAGGGATGTGAGGGTGGGGGG